TGGACAAAGGATTCAAATACGCCTTCTGGTGCAGTATATTTTTTCATCATCATACTGAGACTGGACTTATTTGGACTTCTGGAGTGTTGATTTGACTTTTATTGTTTCCTTGGACTGAACTACTTTAGTACTGATGAAACTGTATATGCACTGAAGAGACAATGTTATGGCGTTACCGGTATTGTAAACTTTGGATTCTTGTATGATTGAGTGATTTGAAAAGGATTTGGATTTGAAAATTATCCAATTGGATTCCACTCCACATTGGATACCAGATTTAGATTGGGTGCACCCTATGATATTGCAGACATAAAAAGGAAACGTATCCTAAGTAAACCATTATTCAAGATTTACTTGTTCCTCACAAGGAGGAGGGATTACTTAGTTTTTTGATATTGGTTGTTATTTTGGTTTATTCATTTTCCATATTTTTCATTATTTTAATTATTTAAATTGTTTTGTATATGTGCGCACGTTCAAATACAGTAAGAAAGTGTTCAAACATATGGTTTGTGAGATTCATTTGAACACCACACATTGCTCCAGTAGCCGAACCTATTCCAGCTTGTTGGCCCTTAATTAGAGATTAATAATTCCTTGTCTAAACATTTGGCAAGTGTTACAATAGTGTGCTACAAAAGTAGCTGTATGGCATCTTTAAAACACACTTTCTGTTTATTATTCAGCAAAGGCATGAAATGTAATACAGTAACACAATAAAAATGAAAACAGAATGAGATATATGATGAATGAAACATAGTACAACAGGTCAGGACAGAAATACAGTTACTCTGCATTAATAAGTTGCTTCACATCCATTAAAGGAACTAAAAGTTAAGTATAGACATTAGTTAATCAAGGATATACAGGAGGACACTAGAGTTTTTACATGTAGCTTGGGAAATGGATATAGTTTGTGCACATAATCAGCCAGCTGGTTACATCTGTGCACAGCGCAGTAGCTGCACATAGTGTCAGTGGGTTTTGTCCTGTCATTTGTCGACTCATGGCGGAGGATGATTGAGGAACTTCAGGCAAAGAAAGTTCAGCACTGGGTGAACTTTTCAATTTGACCACTAGTTCCAAGAAATCATTTTCTCTTGGAAAAACATCAGTATGTCTTTCCCGCACTTAAACACGGTGCAGCCTTGATGTAGAAATACAACCAAAGCCCTTAGCAAATCCAAACACATTACTTTGTGTTGCGAGTGTGTTACAGTTCCATCACATAACAGATGACTGGCATGCCTGATTTTTGTGCCGATCCAAACGCTCATATCAAGGCCACAGTATGTGTAGACCTCATTGGACGGCAGCTACACAATGACAAATCTCTGTATGTTATACAAGAATAAACTTTAATACACACAGCATGAGATGCTTCTCCATTTGAGGGACTAGGCAGGAAACACACTCAGCTCCTTGTTCATAACTCAAAGAGAGAAAACTGTATTTTTAGGTTAACCTAAGCAGCAAAGGATGTGTGATGTACATCTCTTTATCTATCTAGCATGTGTTTGTGTACTATATATGTATATTTGTACAAACTGTGAAGAACGTAAAGATAAATGTAATGAGACAACGATGATTTAGTTTTTCCCAATATCTTTTTTTTTTCATTAACTATAAAATCTTGGTAGTTTTAATTATTTTCCAGTTGCAATAAACACAAACTTGGTCATATTGCCTTGCTGTTTTTTACATGTTTCAATTTTAGCCACTTGGGCTTTAATCATTTTGAGTAGGTTGCGTGATGTGCAGTGTTATAGACAGTAGATGTAAATGCAGTTAATGAAATTTCCCTGAAGTTGCTTCGATGCCGAATTATCTGTCTTACAGGTCCACCTTGTGAGAAGGGGAATGCTTCCTGTGATCCAAATCCATGCCAAAATGGTGGCATATGTGAAGAGGGTCCCAAAAGATTTGTTTGTCATTGTCCAGAAAGATTCAGGGGCCTCTACTGTGACTCCCGACTTGACTCCGATTGCTTGTCATATCCATGTCAGGAGGAACAAATTTGCACCACAGGGGAGCGTGTGAGGATTTAATTTTCCTTATTTGTTTAATCTCAGTGAGACGTAAACAAGAAATGGCACATGAAAATTAATATAGCGTCTTGAAACAAGATGAAATGGCTTCATTCTGAAGGTTGCAAAAGCAATTAATATTTCCTCCTGAAGATGAGTTAAGGGAAAG